TGAAGTCCACAAGTCTAAAAAAATTGCTGCCTCACCAGCCATAAAGCTCACCGCATGTCACTGCTACCAAGGTACTCTGCTCTTTGACCTCCAAAAATTCTGAACCTGCCATTGTTTCTTCCAGCTTTTCTTGAGCGGAAACCTATCCCGTACCTTCTCGGAAGTTGCAATAGGAGTCCCGAAACTTGGTCTCGCACCATTTCAAGACGTAGTCTTCCCTCCGGTTGTCAGAAATCCGTTGCCACCCTTTACTTTTGCAGTAATTATTCAGGCTGTGGGAGAGAAGCCAGGAGGCCTTGGTGCAAGGCGAAAAGATAACCCTCTGGAAATACTGGCAGTCCTCAAACCTACGACCACAACGGACACCTCCCCCCCCCAATTTCCACAGCTAAGCAAGGCATTTGTTCCCATTTTGCAACCCTTTTTTGCCCACCATCGTTAAGCGAATCGCTGCAGTTGTTAAGTGAATCCAGCCGGCGTTAAGCGAATCTGCCTTCTCCCACCGTCTTTGCATGTCGGGAGCTGGCTGGGGAGGTCGCAAAAGGGGGGCAAATCACATAACCCCGGGACGGTACAACTGTCATAAATATACGCCCAAATTTAGATCACATAAGCTAAAATTCAGATGGTGCTGCAGCGACATCCTCGGGTGAAAAGTGTGAAAACAGGGGATCGGTCACTTTTTTCAGTGCCGTAATAACTTCGGACAGCAAACCAATGGCTGTAAGGCGAGGACTAACTGTAATAGCCAGTCGCTCCCAAAACCTTTTGCTTCCTAAGCTCAGAGTCCTACAGCTGAGAGGGCTCCGCAACAGCCATCTGGAGCAGGAGTCCCCAACCTTTCGGATCTCAGGGACCACTAAATTCATAATTTTAAATCTCACATACCACTAATAGGATCTGCCTCATGACTGGCTGGGTGGGCGTGGCTAGGTGGTCATGTGACTGAGTGGGCATGGCCAACTTGATGTCACTCATGTTGAGGGGCGTCTCGCCAGCCTCTACTCATCACTCCTCCCCTCCCCACCCCAGGCTCCTTAGGGCCCCAACAGGAAGCAGTTGCTGGAGCTAAGTAGCCACCAGGA